CTTTATCACTTTCCCTCATTTTCCTCTCATTTTCCTTTCCCATTTCTTCCTGCCCTGTTTTTGGGGCTGCTCATCTGGTTTCAGTAAACAGAAAAGAGTGCTTCAGTCTCTAATTTAAATTAGAGATGATAAAATTCGTGTGGAGCTGATATTAAATATCAAATTTATTGATTTATTTAACATTTATTTACTTGAGAAAGATTTATTTTTATATAGTCTCTATATTCTTCATTATAAACAGGATAAAATGATTGAATATTGAGAAAATGTAAGTAAATGAAATAAAATAAATATATATTATTATTAAATAAATAATATTTCGATATATTTAATAATCATACTCTTTCCCACTACTGGACTCAGCTATAGCTTGTTGACTTCTGCGACCGCAACGGGAACGAAGAAGGAAACAAAAATAATCGGCAAAGCGGAAGTGGGTGGTGGCTGGGTGGCAATGGGGGGCCGGGGGCGATGGCGGAAGTTGGGCGGGTTGATAAGGTAACGGTAGAGCAGTAACTTCCAAGTGTCCTTCGCAGCAGCAGATGTTCGCTGTTTGTTCTCACAGTTATTAGTGAAGGAGCGCTTACTTCGCGCTGAGTTTGAAGGTGTTCTTGTGTACACAAGTAGTAAGATATAACTACACTGAGCGAAAAATGGGGTATGCAAAAGAATACATACAATACAACACTAGCTAAATGTTGCTCAAACTTAAATGATGTTGTTATTAATTGAATAATATTTATAGCTGCCTAGCAATATTTTCTAATAAATTATATATATTAAATAAACCTTTGAAATATATCGATTTTCATTTACTTTCATTTAATAATTTAGGGGAGAGAAGAAGTAAATCATTGAGTACGATTTACTTCTTCTCTCCCCTAAATTATTCAAAATTAATGAGCGCTTAAATTACAGTCAAAGCCTTATCATTTAGACGATAATTCTTGGGGGCGTTAATTCTTGGAAAAACATATGATTTAGGGTCTGGAAATGTAACTCAAAATACAAACAATCTGCCATGATTTTAATTACACACATGGCCCCCAAATTTATAAGGTATCTGGTGGGAGGCAGGATATGGGGTGTGTGTGTGGATTATCTGACTGGCTCATCCTACATCTTTGGGCTCTCCTACATTCATCTCCCTGCTCGCACAACACCTGAAGTAATTAAATAGTTGAAATAAGCCCGCTCTAATATTTATATGCCATAAATTAAGCAAACAAAGGCAAGCGAAAGCAAACAAACACAGATACGCAGACACACACAGACACAACGAGGAGAGAGAGAGAGAGAGAGAGTGGGAAATGGGCGGAAAATCCGGGGAAAAGCGTCGAGAAAAAGGTACCTCCACTGTCACCCAGACGAGACAAGCAAAAGAAGACGACGACGACGCGTTGACACGTACGCAAAATAAATTTGTTAAGAACGCAATAAGAGTGAACATTTTGTCGCCATTTAAGCGCGATAAATTATTGTGCAACAAAGTGCGACAGAGATGGCTGTTGGCACTAGAAGTATAAAGAGAAAGAGACAGCCACACGAAGGACCTGCAGCTCTCTCTCTCTCTACTCGTTTTACGGCAACGTCTTATTAAATTAAAATGAAATTTAAACTTGATCTTGTGCCGGCAAAAGTTTTCAGAGCCAAAAAGGAGTGAAGTTGTTGCGCCTTTCATCTCTGTCTGCCATCTGCCTGCATCAGTGGTGCTTTTTTTATTACCCAAAAAAATGGCTAAAAATAGTTGAAAAGAAATTTGTTTTCCCCGAAGAATTACTATTTAGTATTCTAAAGTCTCAAATTAATATGTAAAAGTATGTAGTGTTTATAGTTTTATGTGCGAACGGCCCGTGAAGTAATTAAAGAATTTGTTTTATAATGATAGTATTAAGTGTAGCTATTTATATATATATAGTATATAGTATATATATATATGTTCTTAATCAGCATTGTTGTATTTCTCTGTCTCTATTTCTCTCTCTATGACCCTCTCTATGTCCCTCTCTATGCCCTTCTATATGTCCCTCTCATTCTCTCAATATTTTCGGTATGGCTATCGCTTTCGGTGTATCTCTTTAGATATCTCTCTACCTCTATCTGCCTAGCTCTCTTGCTCTCCTGCTCTCACTTTCTCTACTTTCTTCACTTTCTTCACCGCCAGACTGTCCCGAGGCTTCTCCATTTAAAGTGATAGTGATCGTGATTGTCCTTCGACCCGAAAATATCACCTGGCCAATGCCATGTATCCGGATAATCAGGAAGATCGATGATACTAAAGAAAGGCTCATTAAAGTCACCAGGAATATAGCTCACATTGAAAGAAGTAAAACAATTACGAGAAAGGTGTGTCTTCTACTGCGGTAATATTATACATATAAATGCTATAGGAACCATCAGGCCTAGGTATATTTCAGTCAGAAGCTTAAAACGATGTGAAGGAGTCTTTTCCGACTCTATAAAGCATATATATTCTTGATCAGCATCAACAGGCGAATCATTCTAGATATCTCCGGCAATAATTAAAATTGTTCAATAATTTTGCTTTTTTTTTGTCAGAAAAAGGAAAGAGGTTACATCGCCAAAATGGTCAAAAACTTTAATTTTTTTAAATATTTAATTTAGTATGCAGATTTATTAACCTTTAAAAAAACTAACACAGAACAGCTTTCCGAATTGAAATCTATGAATTTTTGGTTGAGTTATGATTACCTTAAGCTCTGTTTTTTTCATATAAACGACTTCAATTAATGTAGATTCAAAAAGTGCTTATATTTGATATATCCTTGGTGTCTTTTATATACATTCAGCTGTAACATCTTTATTAAATTATAATAAAATATTGTGAACATAAACAATAAGATGGGCTCAAATAAATTCTTCTCCCCATTAATTGTTAAGCAAAGAAAAAAGCTATAGCCAAGTGATCAGCTTTGGTAGCTCTGCTAGCGGACAAATTATTGGCCTTCTAGCTCGGCTTAGAAGGAGTGCGAAGGAGGAGCTCACTGGCAGGACCAAGTTGCCAGGCGTTTGTCTAGCCGTTTTCACGATTTTAGAGTTTCAACGAGACGGAGTCGTCAAAGCTGCCGGCTAAAACTTGCACAAAAGGATGCGGATGCGGATTGAGGAGGGGGGGAAAACTGAGGAAGGACACTTGGAAATTGGTCGCCTCAAAGATATTTAAATATTTGTTTGCCTGTCGGTGTATGAGTGTGCATAAATCTTAAATAACAAGCAATAAATGCTTCTACAAGTCCCGGGCACTTTTTGGCGATTTGCATGGACATGCTGCTTGCTTTCCCCCACTTTCCGTCGCTTTTCCCACTGTCCCTCTGTCCCTTTTTCCCGCCTTTCCGCTTTCCTCATTTCCTCGCTTTTCTTGGATTCTCACCAGGCAAACTTTTAATCAAAATGTGCGGCTCACAGTCTGCTGGCTGAATGCACTTGAACTTTATGCCGCGCAGGAAAAGGGCGCAGAGGGCGGGGGAGGAGGAGGCGTTGGTAGTAGGGAAATCCTGGAAAAGCGGCAAAGCTGCAAAAGAAAATGGGAGAAAGAGTTTCCCCACCACTACTACACACTATACAAAGTCCGACCGAGCGAGAGCTGTTGAAAATGCATTAAATTCTTTGCCCAAAACGAGCAGACAACAGAGACTTTTCCCCCCAAGGATATGAAGAGATGGAAGGAGAAGGTGTCCTGTCAGCGGATTATTAAAGTCATCAGCGATAAATATTCCCCCAAGTGCCAAGGGCCTTTTAAATTAATCGGTTGCCTGGTTAAAAGTGAAAAGAGAACTTCCGGAAATTGGCTATTAGGCAAATGGGAAAATGAAAATATGAAAAGTAGGAGGTTTTCAATATTTAATGAAATATAAATATCATTTCAAAACGAATTTTATTACTAAATGTAATAGGAAGGACTTTAAATACTTGATTTAATTGAAAAAAGGTTAATAAAATAAATAAAATGTTATTTTATAAGAAGATATTGCTTTAATAAAAATATATAATATCGAGTAAATTATACAATAATCTATAATTTATCACAATTTTCTATATTTTTAAATAAGGCCCTTAGGCGATTCATAATTTTATTATTAAATCAATATGCTAAATATTGGCCCGTCTCAGACACAGACAATAAAAGGTATTTAATGCCTTCGTGATGCCTCAGCTTCCTGTATCGAAATTCCCATTTCCCCAAGGATTTCCCATTTTCCATTTCCTTGGAGAGTATCCATTTTCATTGCCAGTTAACCGTAGTTCATTTGCGATTCTGTTCATGAAGTTTTCTCGCTTTCTCTCTCTCTGTAAGCAGAAGCAACTTTGGCTGGCAATCATCAATTCACATTCCCAACAAACTAGCTAAAGGGTTAACCTTTCAACCTTAACCCGCAAAAACAAAAAAAAAAAACAAAACAGAAAAAAAAGTAAGAAAAAGATTTATGGCCCAACATCAAATTGATCCATTTGTGTTGCTGTGCTGAGTTCTCCTTGAGTTTTCCTCGCTAATTTGCGGCCCTTACCTTGGGGATTTCACAGATATCCTTTCACAGATATCCTTTTACAGATATCCTCCTGGCATGTAGTAAGTAAGTTTTTGTGGGTAAAGTTTAAATATTTATGTTCTTTTTCGAGGTGGGGGGAGAGACCACCTTGGTGTAATATAGTTGGGAAAAACAAGAACTGCGGTCGCCGCTCTCTCCCTCTTAACTCTTGGGGGGTCATGTGAATTTGTTGGAATTTGCATAAATAAAATTGGCATAATAAAATGTAAACATTTTGCTAAGCAAATTGTTACTCCCCCTTTCAGTCACTTGAGAGGAAAGGGAATGAGATTTAACTAAAGGATATACGGGACGAGTCAGCCAATATTTGTCGTGTCAACAAATTTACATAGAAAAGTGAGAAAAGGCAAGCTTCCTCAACGCGGGGATCCTTGAGATTGAATTCGTTTGATATATATAAATGGAAAAAGATATAGTGTATATAGTACTCACTGCACTGCGCCTCATCCGATTTATCCTCACAATCGTCAATCATATCGCAGCGATAATGCGGAGGAATGCAATATGTCTTGTTGAACACATATTGCCCGCAATTAAGCTGAGGTGTCTCGCATTCCGGTGGGGCTGCAAGTGAATAAATATAAAATATATATATAATGCATGCTTATAATTTAAATATCGACACAGTATCGATATATCGATGAGTCCTGTCATCCCTAGTTCCCTCACTGCCCTGGACTTTTATGGATATTTAAATCTTTCTTTTCATTCAATCTTTTGTAAGATTTTAAGCACTTATTTTATTACACATTTCTGCGATAATCGGCAATGCAATAATCAGGCATTTAATTAAATTAATAACAAGTGAAGTGAAAATCGATTTAAGCACTTGAATATTTTCTTGGTTTTCCTCACTTCACTTAATTACCACCCATGGTATTTCTTTTATTTTGCATTTTAATTATGGTCGAGTTTTCCCTTTTTTTGTGTGGTTATTGCGGCTTTTCCGCTCAATGCTTTCCCCACCCGTGATACTTACGACATGACTGCATCTCATCCTCGCCATCGTCGCAGTCCTTCTGGTAATTGCAGACCCAGTGGTGCGAGATGCACTTGCCGTTGTTGCACCGAAACGAGTCCGTTGGACACTCGGCATTGAGGCCGCTGATGCCGCTCGTACTGCCCAGGCTGCCACCTGGGGGAATAGAAGGGAAATTCGGTGGAAAATCAGTGGAAGTTCTTAGCTTCATTTACCAGTACAAAAGCAAACAAAAAAAAAACAGGAAAACTAATTGGCAGCCGGCTGCCATTTTGTCATTTGATTTAAGCGGAGCTTGGACCCCAAAACTTGGATAATAAGCCAACAGCTGCACAAGACACTTGGAGAAAGACTTAAATAGCTCAAGAATATTATACAAATATATATTATATATATTTTCTTTTTTTAAAACATTTTAAAATATGATTTATAATAAAAGTTTGTTAGCACAGATATTTTAAACGAAGTAAAGAGACTCAAGTCTCATTTACACCCTTAAGCCGTGTCTACAGCAAGGATTTCTTTGATTAAAAAATTACAAATTAAATATTTAATTAAATATACTAAAGTATATATTTTCTCCTTAAAATAATCTTCTTTTGGAGTGTAAAAAAATAGAGAAAGGGCAGACAAAGGGCCAAGGCAGACCTTGCTGCAGACAACAAAAGACTGTCATAAAATGGCAGCTGCAAGGATGCGTCTCAACTTTTGTGGCTGCCAAAGCCGTCGCGCGGCTAATGGCCTTGTCACACACACACACACCACACACACAACCAGGACACACACACTCAGCATGTGTTGTGTGCAGTGCAGGAAAAGCAACTGCAACACAGCAGAGGCCAAGGCAAAAGGAGCAGACAAGGCTAGAACGCGACCGGAAATGCTTAGCTGGGATTTCTTCTTCTCGACAGGGCAAGGACCAAAAATGCCTGGTAAACTGGCCGGGAAATGTGAAAAGGGGGAGGGAGGGGGTCCAAAAATGTAAAGGAAATGTGCAGAAAAGGCGACAAGGGGTCGTCGTCTGTTCAGTTTTTGGTTCAGTCCAGGGCGCTGACAATGTCATTTGTTTCCGGCTACGTGCACTCCGCACGTGCCCAACTTTCTGCGGCCAGCAAGGAGGAGAAGGAGATCAGGAGAAAGGTGCAGAGAAGTGTCAAGAGAAATGCCGGAAGAAAGGCAGAGAAACGGGCTGGAAAATATAGAAAATGTGTGAGGCAGAGAGAGAGAGCGAGAGAGACTAGCAACAGAGTGGCGTATTTTTCCGACTGCACCTGCTGCCACTGCAACTTCAGCTGACGCATCTTCGATGGAAGTTGAAGCCGAACTTCAATTAGGCCAAATTCAAAGAGAAGTTAACGGAATTGGCACAAAGCAAAGCCAAGAAATGGAATTGAATTAGCCAACCGAATGGAACAACTAAGAAGAAAGCATCTAAATTGGCTAAAAGCACAAACTTTTAACTATTTTATTTATTTATTTGGTTTAAACTAGCAGAAAATGTATACACTTGAAGGTGAAGAATATCAAGAAAGTTAAATTGTTTAATTTTCTCTTCACTGAGTCAAAGTTTTGTAAAGGAGAAATATATATACATATATACTATTTGCAACAAGTTTCTTTGAAATTCTCTTCCCAAAATTATAGAATTTCCTCAACTATAACTGTATTGGATTTCATCTTTCTTGGAAAACACTTTCAATTAATTTTCAACACACCGGGATTTAATAGCACCTCGACTTTGGTTGGCGGGAAAGGTAAGTCCCCTTGCAAAACCCGCAAAACTTCATGTCTAATTATGCATCTAATTAGTGAGTGCATTCTCCGTTTGGCAATTCATGCCGAAATTATTTTTGCCGCTTTTGCACCATAAGAGGAAAACCGCAGTCGACAGCCACCCCAGTCCCTGATCCCAGCCCACATTTTCCCCCCACTTTTCCCGCTTTTCCTGCTTTTCTCGTCGCTGTGCAAATTGAATTCTGAGCAGTCGTCACACACACACACACACACACTCAAAATGAAATACACGACGAACCCGAAAAACCGAGTCATGTTTTAACACAGCGAATAATTCACATTTCGGGGGAATCCCCCATGTTTGGTGTACTATATGTGTGTGTGTGGAGAGCTGTCGTTGCATTATGTTGCACAAATAAGAATCAAAATAATAATAGTAATTATGGAAAGTGCAAACAGTGATTAAGTCGGCTTATTTATGTTACTTTCCTATGTTGTATCTATATTTTTTTAATTCTTAACTATTTATATTTTAAATTAAATGAAAAATTTATCCTCTTTGTTATGAATATACCCTACAATAATGTTTTTTTTTACCTCGTATTTTCTCTGTCTTTCTTTACTTATTTTTGTATTTGGAAAATAGAGTTTTTTATATTTTCTAATATTATTTAGTTTGCTAGATACTTTTCAATATTTTAAATATTTTTTTATATATTTTTTTATATTTTTGAGGTTTTTTTTTGTTTTATCTATAAACTAATATTAATAAGAAGTTGAATGTTATATCGAATCGAAAAATCTATCATAATAAGCTTAAAATATTCAAATTTAATATTTATCAATATTTTTCTATGAGAATTTTTTCGACAAAATCTCATAACTAAGTAAGAAATGCATTAATTTCGATTCGAAAAGCTTTCCTATGTTAGTTTTTAATAGGTTAATAAATCTGCATACTAAATTTAATATTTAAAATAATTTAAATTTTTGTCGATTTTTGATGATAACCCCTTTCCTTTTTATGAAAAAATTGAAAATTTTTGAAAAAATTTTTTTTCTACCGGAAATAGCTAGGAAGATTTGCCTGTTGATGCTGATCAAGAATATATATGATTTATAGGGTCGGAAATGATTCCTTTATTGCTTTTTAAGCTTTAGACTGAAACTCTAATACCCTTCCTTGCAAGCGTATAAAAAGGTATTTTATGTTTGAAAAAGATTATATTTATCTCATTAACTAGATGTTAGTTTTAAAAATATTAACAAAACAAAACGTTAAACCTTGATATTTTAGAATTTTTTACCACTGTCCAAGGACAAGTTTGGCAAACTTTTTGGCCGTTAATGTTGTTGCCTTTTCCTACTTCGTTTGTTTGCCACTTTGTTGGGAAGAGCAGAAAGGCCCAAACTTGAAATAGTTTTTGGCTGCCGGGGAAACTATTTAGTTTGGTGTCCAAGTCACCAAAAAAATAAAATAAAAAGGGAGGCGAGTACACCGTACGAACTGCCGCCTTTGATGGGCCTGGCCCTCACAAAAGTTTTTGTCCCCCCAAAAAGGCAGATAATGGTGGTGTCCCCAGAGTCCCTTCCCCCGCTTTTCCCCCCTTCGATTCGGGAAATTCCTTGTCCCCCTTCAACCGCGACAACATCAAAATGCACGTTATTAAGTATTATGTTGCCGTTGCTTCTATTTGTTTTTATTGTTATGGGCCATGTTATGGCCATGTCCTGATGCTGCTGCTACTGCTGCTGTGCCACCTCCTTTTTTGCCACCGTCAACGGTTTTAACAGCTTACAAAATATTTTGTAATTTTGTCACGTCTCAACTTTGGCGACGTCACTTAAAATTACATTTAACAAAGCAAAAAAAAAAAAAAAAGCAAAAGAGAGCGCCGAAAAATGCACAAACAATGGGTTTCGGGTTCGGGTTTGGTAACAGGAAATAATGTTTGTCTGAGATTCGTTTTTCGGTAAATCAAAAATAGATGAAATAGATGGATGGCCTGAAGGGAAAACCAAAGAATCTGAGACATTTTCCAAGGGAAAATAAACAGAGGGGAAATTTAAGCATTGATGGATATTGATATTATTTTATTTTACAATAAATAACTACCAAAAGGAAACTTTGAATTTCCGTCAAGATAAAGATAAACCAATAACTTTAATCACAAATTTTCCCTTTTTAAATGCCCCAAATTTTTTGTATTAGCTAATAAAAACCGATTTGTAATCGTCTTAAGTTCGAACAGGTGTAAACAATCCAACAGCTTTCCGTTTTCCAGGATTTATATACCAACAAACAACTTTATTGTTTTTCTTTGCGAGTTTCCTTTTAGCCAGGTTTTGGACTTCATCCAGCTTAGTCCCAAACATTCGGCTTAGAGCTGAGTTCAAGCCGATTCCCCTTACATCACAGAGACAAGCATAAATCAATGTTTGGATTTTCAGAGGGGGGAACAAAAAGAAAAAAAAACTTGGAGAACGAAAGATTTTTGGGGCAAATCAAAATGGAAATAACTACTTCAGTTCTAAGTAATCCATGAATAGATGGCTGACTATTTACCCAGCACAAACTCATTAATGTTGTGCAGGGGAAAAATATAGTACGAAAAATATATTTTAAATGTATATATCTTTAAATCTCTAATGGCATAAACATATTCAAGGGATATCTTTAAAATTTTATTAAAATTCTATTGAAAACTCCTGGAAAAACCCTCTTAAAAATATTTTAAAATCATGATGGAAACATATCTAAGGTTTAATTTTAATTATGTATTAAAAATGAATTCAGAAATAATTATTATACATCTTATTTTGAGGGAATATGTTAAATAATAATCTTCTAAATATAAACAAAGGTATTTTACTCAAGACAAGAAAGAAAGCTAACTTCGGCACGCCGAAGTTTATATACCCTTGCAGATAGAACTTCTAAGAATAGGAATCCATACAATATAAATTATATATATTTGTGTTAAAAAACAATGAATAATAATACCTGCTTTCATTTCATTCACCTATACATATTATATTTGCAGTTTTACATTCACAGATTTGCATTTTTCCTCTACATCAAACGATCGTTTGTATGGCACCTATAAGATATAGTCGTTCGATTTTCATAAAATTTGACAAAAAATTTAAGACTAATATAAAATAGCTATACCTTAAATTTGATGAAAATCAGCTGAAAACTAAAAAAGTTATAAATTTAATTGTATTAATTTCTCGATCGTTCCTATGGGAGCTATATGATATATTGGTCCGATTTTCATAAAATTCTACACAAAATTGTAGAGTATAGTAAAATGGCTATATCTTAAATTTGATCCAATTCTATTGAAAACTGAAAAAGTTAAAAATTTTTTGTAAAAATTTTACGATCATTCCTATGGCAGCTATATGATATAGTCGTC